CAGTTGGGGTGGTTCAAACACCTCCCTAGAGAGGTACTTCAGGCATGTCCACTTGGGTGGAGACCTAGGGGAGGACCAAGGACACGCTGGAGAGACTATGTCTCTTGGCTGGCCTTGAAATGCTTTGGAATTCTCCCAGAAGAGCTGGAAGAGGTGGCTGGGAAAAGAAAGGTCTGAGCTTCTTTACTCAAGCTGGAATCCTCGTGACCTGACATTGGAACAAGCGTAATGGATGGATGGATGGATGGATGGATGGATGGATGGATGGATGGATGGATGGATGGATGGATGGATGACTTAGTGAATCTGACTACATTAGATTGTTTTCTAATTATATTATTTGTAACACATTGAATTGGAATCATTTAGATGAAATTGAAATGTGCATAAATGGACATAAATTTAAATCTGACTGTAGTAGATTGAAATATTAGAAGGAACTATTGTTTGTTGAATTGTCAGATTTGAGTGGTACTTACTTATCTTCTACTTGCCCGTTCTGTTTAATCTAATACTTAAATAATGACTTAGGCGCCAAGTACCAGCCCCCTAATTCAGTAAATTAATTCCAAATTATGTCATAAAGCTATTCAAAGCCCTTTAAAATCACTTTAAAACTTGTAGTTAATGCAGTTAGCAGAATAACAGTCTTCAGTTAATGCATTTCTTTAGCATTTTTATCTGAGGCTTTTTAAGAAGTTTAAATAAATTAAATATTAGACTTTAAGTGTGTGTGTAAAAAGCACAGAACATTGCAATTAAACATTAGCAGTGGCCATTTCAAGGGGATTATCATATAGCACTAATGGTGCAGCTTGACAAAATGATTAAATTCCCTAATGACATGGTCATTCAATATCAGTAATAATGAGCAAGAAGGTGCTCATTAAATTCAGACAGAAGATGAAATAAGAGAGTGAAGTCGTCATAAGATTACTTTTTACTTTTCTTCATTCCTTTCTTTCTGTAAAGAATAAATCATACATTTATTTCACAGACAATATGTTTTCTCAAGTTATATTTACCAAAATATGCTCCATTATTCATGAACTTGACATGGATGTAAAAAGGTGCAGTTGTCACCTTTCAAATGTGTGAACGGGAATATTTGGGAAAAAAAAAACACTTTATTTTGATTATTGATTTCAATGTTACCTGAGCATATGGAAAAGTTTTAAGTGATGTTTGCAGTCACATAAAGACAATCAAAAGTTTTTTTTTTTTGTGTTAAAACCATTAATTATAATATAAGTACATGTAAAGAGTTATATAATGATTAAACTACAAGATGTGTATTATTTATTCAATAGAAACCACTTAAAAAGAAGAAAAACTTTAAGAACTGTGTTGGCAAATCAACTATTAGCTCACACTAGAAGTGGCAGATGCTTTCCTTGGTTTATGTTTCTTCTCAACGGTAGATTGGCAGGGCAGTTTTGACTGATTTCTTGTTCAACCACCATTCCCCACCTAGTTCCTTGTATTCATTTAGATTCTCTCTGTATTATTTTTAGTTTTATTTTTTAGCTTTAGTTTGTTCCCTTCCTCTTGCTAAAATACTGTGAGTTTTGTTGTGAGGTGCTAAATCTCTGTGTTATTATGCCCACTGCTCCCCTTAACACCGCTGAGAGAGTAATAGTAATGTAAGAGCCTCACTCCTCAGAAGGGAAGGAACAATGACTGTATCGAGGAAGCACAGAAAAATTATATATATATATATGCATAAAAATAAGTAAAAAGTAATGTTGTTTTTTTCCCAGTGGATGTTCTCTTCCCCTCTTTCATCGCCTCCAGTCATGTAAGGATAAAGTCTTTTTCTCAAATAAACTATTTTAAATAATTTATTTTAAAATGGCCCAAAATAATTATCACAAAACAGAACAACCATTCATCACACTGGCTTTTCAGGCAAAACAGCATGTTTATAATGAGTCATTTATTCTGCTACCTGAAATGCATTCAGTGACCTCATGTGTTTAACATCTCACATACACACTTRTGAATACATAAGACAAATGAATGCAGCTCAAACAATGTGGAAGACCAACAACAATCGATTGACACTTTTGTATCTATCATGTTTTTTTCAACAATTTCACCCCTTCCCATCCTACGTTTAAGCTGGCTAATCTGCAATTTACATTTTTGGTTATCACTGCAGCAAATCAATATGATGTGCAAAAAAAAAAAAAAAAACAGCACTATGATAATGGTGGAAAAACTCTGAGATTATTTTTTTAAGGGTGATTTGATGGGATTTTTTTAAACCATCTGCTAGTTCTGCTCCTGCTTCCTTGATTGCATTTTTCACTCTAGGTGAAAAATGTTATACCAGTCCTGTAGTCAAGTTTGCATCTCTGCAAATCAGAGCTGAATGCAATAAATACCTGCAAACACTGCAAAGTGCTGGAATGAAATACACTGTAAGAGGAACTTAGGCATGAAATACTACTAAAATGAAGTGTTAGTTCAYAGCTACTAAAAAGTCGGAAAATCAAACACAGCTTAAAACTGATAGAAGTCTAAAGGCTCTGATACATCAAACTTAGATTTCGAATTGCAGAAGTCTTTTGCCTTTGATTTTTTATTTTTATTTTTTTATTTTTTAGAGTGTAAACATCTGTGGTAGTGTTGGACTTCGCTGAAGGTTTTTTTTTTTTTTTTTTTTTT